TTGTGAAGAAAGACTCTGGAGGTCAGAAGGAAATGAACACCTTGGGCAGCATGTACATAGCACAGAGACTGAACTGGGACCTGAGAGTCCTAGTCCTTGCTTTTGAGATAAGTTACCTCTTTCTTTCTTTCCTGTTTTTTCTCACCTCTAAAACGGGCAGTGACATCTCCTGAAAACTAGTCTGAGATCTGTGGAAAAAACTGTGATACAATATCTAGCAGTTTAATTACGGTCATTGATATTGCTATTATAATCAGGGGAGAAAAAGACAGTACAGATCTGGGTCAGGGTATCTGCAATTTTTATTTTTTTAATTGATGTAAGCACATAAACAGCATTTCAGTTTGATTGTGTTCTGATTTTCAGACAAGTGATAGGGAAACACCAGTTTTTATTTTCCTTTTTGTGCAAAATTCATTAATCTCCAGTAAAATATTCTGTCCTGCATATATCACCTCCACTTTCAGGATGTACTTGTCTTGTCTGCTTATATTCAGATGAACACAAGTCTTTCACATCTGAGGAAAATAAAAATAATCTCAGTAAATAGGATAAACATTATACTTTTTTAAAAAACATTTGCTCAATCTGCTTCCTTTTGTTTCTAGCAAAATCTTTAAGTCTGACTTGTACATATTCCTTGAGTGACATTCAAGATTTATGTTACAAATTGTTAATCTTTAGGAGTATTTTTTGAACTCCAGCCTCCAATGCAAAAAAACACCTTATGTTCTGGGAGCAAAATGGCCATCACAGCATGGAGGTCCATTCAGGCTACCTTGTACTTCTGAGAAGAGCAGGCTTCTTCCAATTCCACTGCTCACAGTACCAAAGATATTAATTTGCCTTTCTACTACATCGCAATTTAGAGCTAGTTCAGGTATCTCTACATCAGTGTTTTTTTTCTAACTGTGATCTGTGAATTCCTATCAAACACTTCTAAATGGGAGGTCTCATAATTTACAATTTTCTAAAAAAGTTTGTGCTTCCCTTATTTTTTTTTCTATCCTAAAGCATAGAAAAAGTCTACAGATTGAAGAAATTTGAAAACTGCTGCTGCAAACCACAGCAGAGATGTGATAAGTCTCTTAATAAAACTTTCTTTCAAATTTCCCATAATGTCTAACATTGACCTCTTCCATTTCTTCTGAGTCACTTTAATCCCCGGTCAACACATAAATGTCTGCATCCTGCTACAAAATATTTTGGGAATTCCCAAACTAGTGCTTATTAACATTTTAATAGACTATTGGTTGATTTTGCATAAAATTCTAGTAGAGTCAAGCCCAGTATTATCTAGCCTCTAACTGCATGAATCTAGAAAGTGCAGTGTTTCAAACACTAACAGATGGAGCCTATACACCATAAAAAGCCTGATATAATACCAGTTTAGCAAATAAACTTCACTTAGTCCCAATCCATGCTAAATTGTCCCACTTATGAACATTGGGTGTCAGGGTATTTGAGAAGAGAAATTATAAAATGATTGTATAAGCTAGAAAGGTTTATAAAGTTGAATTTAAAAAAAAACAGTGCTGATTTAATCAAGACACAAATATAACCAAATAACATTGAATGACACATCAAAGAGCATACTAGCTTTATTAGAACAATTTACATGCAAAAGCTCCACGTTATATTACTAGTACTAAATGTATGTATACTTCAGTATAATTTCAGAAGGTACAGGAAAGGGATTTGTTTATTCTTTAAGTTTACATAAGTATATTTGTTATTCAAGAAAATATCCTCTGGCAACTGTCCCTCTATATACTGAGGCAATCACCAGATGGAATATAGTTACACAAGATCTGGCCTATATCATCTGTAAGAAAGATGTCTATCATGAGCTAGATCGGAAAATAATAGTTTAATCAGAGAAGATCTGGGCATCACTAAAAGCAGGAGACTAAATCTCTGAGCAGCTGAGGAGCTTGTGCATTCCCAAGCAGAGTGGCAGGTACCAGTTCTTTCACATGTAACAGTGCTGATCCTTGTCCTACCAGACCGTGTTCATTTCCCCCCTTTTTCTCAGGGAAGAGAATTCCAGGATTTCCTTCAGGTAAACTACAACAAAAATTGCAAAAGGAAAACTAACAGTACTGAGTCGAGGACCTAATTTTCTTTATAAGTTTTCAGTGCAATGTGTTTGACTTCTCTGTTTCTCTCTATGATTTATCTAAATGGCCTTATCTGCCCTGAAGAACCTCAATGAAATATCGGTAGGCAAAGAAAGCTTTACACTTTTAAAAAGCTCAGTAATTCCTTTATGTACTTTAGCTTATTCAGAGTCACAAAAACGGAAGATAATCAATTAAAGGTTTAAGTTTTGATGGAACTTCTGGACATTAGAAGTAATGTGCAGCCAATCTTAGTCCTTTTAGGATGTGTAGAATCAATATTCCCATATCATTGCATTAACTCCTGAGATAATGCATGAAATGTTCTCAAAGTCAGCAAAGTACTGCACTTTCATTCCCTTGCAGGAAGAATTCCTTATGAATGAGCTGTCCTCCCTTTTCAAAGTAAAGGGGGAAACCACTTGTTTCTGGTTCTGGTCTGAAAATCGAATCAATCAAAAATTTGTGGGATAATTTCAGGATGAAGCAGAAAAGTTTCAGCTATTTTATATGGGTGTCTGTCAAGTCATACAGTTTTCAAATCTATATACACCATTTTTAACCTGAAGCCATTGGAATTGCTACTATTCAAATAGCTCATGAACATACAACACTTACACACATATAAATATATGTGTATGTTGGTGTGTACACAAATATGTATCTATACAACAGTTACATTTCCCTGCTGAGAATAAACTCAAGAACTTCATCTCAAAAACAAGGTCTGCTTGGGTTAAAAGCAAAAAAAAAAAAAAAAAAAATCAAAAAACCACACAAAACACACAAAAAACCTAAAAAACACCAAAAAAAATCATGCAGTAATTAGAGCAAACCACTAGGGGAAACATAATCACATGCATTAAGCCACTCTCTGCGACAAGAAACGTGAATGAAACATGTAATCCTCCAAAAGCTTCTTCCAAGGTGCCATCAGATTAAAACTGAGAAATCAGCGTCGAGGTTCCAACATGAACCCAAGCACACGCACAAAAATGAGCACATTTAATTTTCTGCAGATTTGTGCACTATTTGTTATTTACCTTTGTGCCAGTTAGCGCACAAATCTTTGCAAGTTTAAGGCTTCTCTTTCAAACTCATCAGTACCAGGATGCTGTATGGATGCTGTATTCTTGGGGGTTTTGCTGGTTTTATTTTTGGCAGGTTTTTTTTGCTTTTTTTTTTTTTTTTTTTTTTTTTTGTTTTTTTTTTTTTTTTTTTTTTTTTTTTTTAAGCTATAACACATTGATGCTTCACCATTTTGCACACATGACTGCCTCTGTGAATAAAAATCCCTGTTTTGAGATCTGTCTTTGAGACTACTCTCTGTATTAAGTGTATGCACCTGTATGTGAGAACTGGAGTGGGAATTGATGATTCCACTACTGACCGACAGATTTAAAAATGGTGTTATGAACTTTCCAGTTTAAAACATTATTTATGTACTCAATATAAACGATAAAAAATACTTTAACAGACCTTTCCCGTGTGTATAGGTTTGCACAAAAATTTCTTATTTTTGACTTTGCTATGTGGGAGGAAGTATTTTTGTCTTCCTACAGTGAGGGGAATATTGTGTTTTCTGTTTCCCAGATATTTTAACCCATCCTTGTCTCTCTCAGCTGAACACCGTGGATTGCCATGCTGACACGGGGCGTACAGCCTACACACAGGGCACATCTCCGAGGATGCTCATGTCGCATGACGCCAGGCCGCTGGGTGCCCCCTTCCGCGGGGGAGCTCCGGGCAGGCCCGCGGCTCCCTCCGGCGCTGCCCGGCGCCGGGGCTGGTGCCCCCGCGGAGCCGCCCTGACCCGCTGCCCCCCGCCCCGGCGCCGCGCTCCCTCTGGCGGGGAGAGCGGCCGCGCCGCCGCCGCTCCCCGAGCCCGAGGGTAACCCAGCCGCACCGGGCTGCGGCTCCAGCGAGGGGCAGCCCCCGCCCCGGCGGGAGAGCGCTCCGTCTGCGGGACCGGGGGTCGAACAGGGTGGAGAGGGGATGGGTGGTCGGGCTGCAGCAGCTCTGTGCAGGCTAGGGAGCGATGGAGCTTGAAAGGAAAAAAGCGAGCCCCGTTTAATTCCGTCTGACCTTACTGTCACCCAAGTATGGAAAATAGTTTGCAGGTTCAGAATATTACTGTGGAAGAACGGATACTTGAGCATAAAACCACGAAAACTCGAAGGCCGTCCATGTGAGACACGACCCTCATTTACACGTTTTCGTGGGGAATGTCCACCCCCTCCACAGAGCAGTGACCAGCAGGTGTAGGAGAGCAAGTGCCTGCAAAATCGCCTCGAGTAGTAGAGGGCTGGCTCGGGCTTGCACCGAGGGTTGTCCAGCGATTGCTGCCTTACACCCGGTGTGTATTTTAAGCAGTGCCGCATGTGACACGGGAACATTCGTGCTCGGTGCGTGCCTGCCGGGGACAGGGGTGCGCGCACAGTTACGTGCCGGCGCAAGATGCCCGCGTCCAGCCAGCCACAGTGGCCCCGTCAGTACTTCCAGCTCGTACCAAAGGGACCGAGCTGTGGTCGTGTCAGGAAACGCCCAGAAGACAAATAGTCACGTTCGCGAGCTGCTCGCAGACCGTGTCCTCCGCACGAATGGCAACTGACTAAAATAAAGCTGGGGGGAGGGAGGGAGGGAGGGAGGAATTTGAAGGGTTTTTTAACTTATTCGAAAAGAACTCCACGCATCCAGCCCCCCCACGCACAGGCGAGGGGACCCCGCCGGTGCCAGGGACGCGGCGCACCCCGCGGGCAGGCGCCCGGGCGCGGGGACTGCCGCCCGCTCCGCGCCCCGCGGGCCCCGCTCCGCGCCCCGCGGGCCCCGCTCCGCGCTCCCGCCCGGGCACGGGGGCGCCCTCCGCGCCGCCTAATCGCATTAATCCGCGGGACAATGCCCCAAGTAATCACCCTTCCTGCTCCCTGCGCGGCCGGCGACCGGCGGCTGGAAAGGGCGAAGCGGGGGAGGGGAGGGGCAGAAAGTGTAAACTTTTATTCCACTCGGTTAAGAAAAACGGGTGGGAAGCAACGGGGAGCACTTGGATACAGGTCTCCCGAACGCTCGCAGCGGCGGGGAGAGCGCGCCTTCCTCCCCGCGAGAAGCGAGTTCCCCTCGGTTTCCCTGCAAACCTATCGCCGCCTGCCTCTGAGTAAATACACGAGCACAAAAGCAACCCCGAGCGGCGTGAGACCGCGCACGGAGCAGCCTCCCGTGAGCACAGGCTGCGGCGAGGCCCCAGGAGCGCGGCTGCAGCTCGCCCCGCGCAGCGCGGGGAGCGCCGCGGACGGGCCGGGGCCGGGGCCGGGGCCGGGGCCGGGGCCGGGGCCGGGGCCGGGGCCGGGCCGGGGCCGGGGCCGGGGCCGGGGCCGGGGCCGGGCCGGGGCCGGGGCAGCAGGGCTGGCTCGGCGGCGGCAGCGCTACCCTTTTGAATGCCTCCCGCAGCTCTGAGTGCTGGCAGGGCGCTGAGAGCGCCAGTGAATGTAGCCCCGCAGAGCCAATGAGCTGGGACCGGATGCGATATATCCTCTGGGACAACAACTGCTCTGTTCCTCCTCAGATCCACATGACGCCATTTACTGCTGCTTTTGCAGAGAGATCACCCTACCTCCTCCGGAAAGAAAAAGAGAGAGAGGGAGAGAGCGAGCGAGCAGAAAAACGTCGAGTCCCTACAGCTCAGATCTCAAATCTTCCTCCTCCTCCTCCTCCACCTCCTCCAAACACACAACAACAACTACCACCACAAATCCGCTGCGCTCCCAAAACACCCCCCCGATTGCAAACCACAGAACTGCCTGCAACACACACGCTCGCAGAGGGAGCGAGAAAGCTAAGAGGGAGAGAGGGGAGAGGAGCCTGCAGCAAGCAGCTTCTCAGGAGAACGGCTACATTGCACAAGCTGCTTTTTTGGAGGAGCTCAGTGGAAGAAAGCTCTGGGATTTTATTTTAGATCCACTTTGTTTTGTTTTCTTTGGCTTTTCCCTTTCCTCTTGAATTTGCAACAGCAACAAAAAAAAAAAGTGACTTGGTATTGGCGATTCGGCCTCCTGTTCATTGAGGAAAAGAAAGGAAAGTGTGTGTGTGTGAGACTGAGTGATTTTTAGGAGCAAAGAAAACCCACCCCGATCCGGAGAGGTGTTTTGATTATTATTATAGTATACACACACACACACACGTATTTATAATCGATCTGGGGAAAGGCACCTAACTTTGATCTGGACTTTTTTTTTTTTTTTAACATGGTGATCATTCTTACTCTAATTTGCAAGTCGGACTAAAGCAGAGTTTGGAAAAGAATTTTTTTTTGCTTTAGGGCTGGATTTATTTGCAAACCGCAGGAAGAAGAAAATACAAGAGAGAGGGGTTTGGTGCAGCGC